ATCCCAGTCGATTCTGTAAGACTTTCGGGCATAATTTTGATTTGCGATGTTATCCCGATCGATTTCTTATCTTTCGACTTATGATGTTATCTTGATCAATTTTGTAAGACCTTCGGGTATGATTTTTAAGACCTCCGGGCATAATTTCGATTCGTTGTGTTATCCCGATGGATTCTTTATCTTTCGACTTGTGGTGTTATCCCAGTCGATTCTGTAAGACCTCCGAACATGATTTCTAAGACCTTCGGGCATAATTTCAATTCGCGATGTTGTCTCGATCAATTCTTTATTTTTGATTTGTGGTGTTATCCCAATCAATTCTGTAAGACCTCCGGACATGATTTCTAAGACCTCTGGGCATAATTTGGATTCGCGGTGTTATCCCGATCGATTCTTTATCTTTCAACTTATGGTGTTATCCCAGTCGATTCTGTAAGACCTTCGGGCATGATTCTATAAGACCTCCGGGCATAATTTCGATTTGCAATGTTATCCCGATCGATTCTTTATCTTTTCGACTTATGGTATTATCCTAATCGATTCTGTAAGACCTCTGGGTATTATTTTTAAGATCTTCGAGCATAATTTCGACTCGCGGTGACCCAGGCGACTAGCGACGCGTTGGTTCGGCAACCGGACTGCGAGACAGCTCTGGAGCTCTTTTTTTTTTTTTTGAAACGACAAAAAGAATGAAATTTTTTTTTTCAGTTATATATAAAAGACTAAGGAGCAAAACGACGTCGTTTTAGGCCAATGAGGATCCGCGCGTTGACTCGAATCCAACCCGAGATTCCGCAACCTGACTCGTAGACCCGTTCTTCTAACAGCTGCTGATCGGTCCAATTGAACCGGTTTGAATCGGATCGAACTGTAGATCGTCAACCCGAATCACTGACTGAATGGCAGAACCGGTTGACCGGTCCAGACTAGCGTTGACCGGACCGTTGACCGGTCTGGTTCAGGTAAATTTTTTTTTTTTAATTTTCTAATTTTTTATATGTCATTATTTTTGTTATTTTAAGTATTTTTTTATATTAATGCATGATAAATTCTTAAATTTGTTAGAATAAATGTTTAATTTTTTTAATAATAATAAAATTGAAAACAAGTAATAATTAAAAATATATTAAAAATGCTCCAAAAAATAATTATTATTATTTTTCTTGCCTAGATATTGGAGGGAATAAAAAATATTTTTCTAAAGAATAATTCCGCATAGATGTTGATAAATTATTATTAATAAATTTTCATAAAAAAATATAAGAAAATTTTAATTAATTTTCAAAAATTATTAAAATCGAACTTGCTTCGAAAATCCGCCTAGATGTTGAGGATTTTTAGAGATGTTCGTATTTTCTTAAAAACAAAATCTTAAACACTAATTTTTAATTTTCAAAATCTTAGGTTTCTAAAACCCCTAAAATTCAAAATCCCCTAAAATCTAAAATCTAAAATCTTAAAATCCGAAACCCCTAAAATCCAAAATCCCTTAAATCCAAACCCTTAAAATTCGAAACCCCTAAAATGCTAAACCCCCTAAAATCTGAAATTTCAAACCTTTAAACTCTTAAATCCAAACCCTTAAATTAAAACCCTAAACCTCAAATTTTAAAACCGAAACCCTAAAATCTTCAAACTCTAAAATTAAAACCCTAAACCTTCCATACCTTAAAACCAAACCCTAAAACTTTAAAAACTTAAATCCAAACCCTTAAAATCTGAATCTTCAAAATCTTGAAACCTTAACCTTTAAAACCTCTACTCAAACCCTTACTCAAAACATCCTAAAAATCTGAAGGACACGTGTGAAAATTTCATTTGAAGCAATTTGTTCCCGAATGTCGCCTAGATGATGGGTATTTAAAAAATTTTACTTCGTTAAGTCTTTTCACATGATTCCTTAATTCGCATTAATAATAAGATTAATAAATAAAAAGTATAAGAGTAAATTGGATCTTAAATATAAACAGTCGCATCTAAGCTCTGCCTAGATGTTAAAAAGTCGGTGACCTCATTATACTTAAAAATCCAACTTTTAAATTGCATCTCATCCTATATAATATTCATTGGCATACATACGTTAGCATGTTATTATCAATATTTATTTGCACTATTCTGTCTTTAATTTTTATTTACTACTTGGTGATAAAATATTTTATAATAAAAAAAAAATAATACTTTTTTTTTTAAAAAAATTGTGATATTACAAAATAAAATAAAATTAACATTCCGAAAGAAATAATTTTTGGTACTCTGTCTAGATGTTGGAGAGTCACCAATAATTTTCTATAAAGAGTGCTATTTCATTTTAAGGATTGTTTGTTAAATCTTAAGCTTAGTTATTTTAAATTCTGCCTAGATGTTGGAGAATTTTAAGATAATTCTTTAACTTAAAGATTTTCTCAATATTTCTAAATAAAAATTGTAGCAAAAATATTTTTTAAAACGAAAGAAATTAATATTAAATTTCAAGTCAAAATCATTTTTATTCAACACCGAAAATAGCGTATAATTAAATGGTACCAATTTATGGGTGTTGTAGGGGTGCTAATCCTTCCCCACAGTTAATCGACTCCCGGACACAACCCTGATTTTTCGTAAACCAAAATTTATATTTTTAATAAATTTTAAACCCGTTTTTATAGTTTTATTAAAAAGATAAATTTTTGGGTGGTCAATCATATCCTAACAAAGATTGGTGGCAACTCTCCATTTTATTTTTTTCGATTTTAAAATATATTTACATCTGATGATCTCAAAACCGTTACGACATGGTGCAAACCTTTTATGATGGTAACAATTTAGTTGAAAGAATAGCGTAAGGCAAATTTGGGCATGAATTCTGAATAAATGCATGAAATACTGTAAGAAGCTAGAGAGAGTGAAAATGTCGTGGCCCTTAGAGAGATTATTTACGATAGGAAAAAAAGAGATAAGTTGGTATGACATGCAAAATTTTAGAAAATCACTTTCTAGGGGTGAGACTACAGCATGAAGAGTAAAAAGGTATCTGACATCAAATATTTCACAAAGGAAATCATACTAAGTGGGGATTACATTGTAGCATGAAGAATAAGAAGAAGCAGGGATCTAACATCAAAGCATAAATCATAAAGGGCATTTTATAATAGGAAGAATTCAACTGAGCTAGGCGTCCTTTGGTTTGCCAATGTAGAGCCAAATGTTGTTGGTTAAAAAGATCCGCTATAACCTCTTTTTGATTTATAAGCTTTATCAGAGTTGCACGATGGCTCTATGTATTAAAGCGTTATACCGTAGTTATAGAGACCCTCTCAGCCTTTGAGGATTTACAATTATGCATTACCACTCAGTATTATTCATAGTCCAAACCAAAATTACTTTTCAAAATTAACCTCATTTTCAACAGCAGAAGTTTAGTAATTAACATTACTTCAATTTCAATGATGCCCTTTTGCTTCACTTTATAGTTCAGATTATATTCATCCTAAATAGACTACTATGTAAGCAAATCATTGCGATAAAACATTGGCACAAAATAGAACAACTGAACTTTTAAAACACGTAAATTTCTACTTCCATGTACAATAAAAGAAATCTTAAGCATAATAAAAGAACTTATTCATGCCTCTTCCTCCAATTCTCGATAAATATGCAGTTGGCCATCCTAAATAGACTTTTGGATTGTTTTACATCGGAATAAATATGACCATCAACATAAAGAATCTCATCTCCATGGATATTTAGGGGGAATTCTCAACCATCCGAACACTTTCCCCAGATTACAAACTTTTTGTAGAAGAAATAAAAGATGGACATATAAAAAAACCCAAATCAAGTGAGCAGAATCGCAATTTCTTCTTTCGGGCACACTGCAAGGCAAACAGAAAAAGATATTCTAAGTTTAAATCTTTGGTTCGGGTGCCACAAGAACATTGCCATTAGACACTCGGAAAGTTCATATATCATGGGGGTGTAAGTTCTTAGCATCCTCATATTTTTAGTTACTTGAAAACTTGAAAACTATGGGATAAAAAAGTTGTCAGCAATTATGATATCTTGAATCAAACATTCTTGAAAACTTTTTAATTTCTCATTCATGAAAATTGAAAGAACTTATGGGGAGGAATTCTTCTTTAAAATCACAATGGAGCGGAGAAACAAATAACAGAGCATAAGCTTCTCAACACATCATATAACGGACTACGAATTAAAAAATTACCTTTTTCAGCATACTTTCTTATACTTTCTTTTTTTCATGTTTCAACTCCCTTCAAGAATGCCTTTGTTAACGTTTTTGCAAGTCATCTGATCCATCAAAATTAATAAATGGTGTTAAAAGGCCACTATAGCTAGCAAATTCAACACAAGCCACTTCCCATGATCTTCAAAATCATCCTGAACATAAAAACATAAATGAGCAACCATTAAAAGAGCAAAAGATTAAAACTTTGCTAAATTGCTTGTGGATTTTGAATCATTAGTGTACTTCACCCACCCAACACTTGGACTTAGCGTGCAAGTCTCTCTGCAAATTTAGGACTGCAGAAAACATTGTCCAATTTGCGTGACATAGGTCAGATATAGGCAGCAGTTGACGGTAATAATAACGGTGAATTTTCGGGGAAGATTTTGGGAAATCTAAAATGGTGGAATGGAAGAGCAATGGGAGGGAATCACATAGTAAAATTTCAATCCATTTGAGTGGACGAAAGTGGAGTTTTTTGGTGTTTGAAGTCGTGGTTTTAGGTTTCGATTGAAGCTTTTATGAGTCGTTTTGAAAAATCCAACTGGATAGATGTGAAGAGGGAACTGAGAGGAGCTTGAATTTAAATTTTGAAGAAAATCTATCGTCAGCAAACGAGAGGCGACGGCGAAGGAAAGGCTGCTGTTTTCTTTCAAGATAGTTGTGAGAGAGTGAGCGAATTCAGGAACAGAAGATGTGATAAGGTGAAATGAATAAAATTAAATGTATGGATTTCCAAAATAAAACCAACAACTCATTGTTATTCAAGACAGGAGCAGACCAATCATTGGTTTTAAAAAATGTTGTTCAATTTTATAATTCCCAACAACTTTTTGTTACTTGAACATACTTTGCTTTGCTGCGTAGCAAACTTGTCGCGGTTCCTCCATTGCCATGCAGGATTTGTGGTCTCCCTGACTTTTCGAGCCTTCTCAATAGCCAATAGGCAATTGTCCCCCGAAATCAAATCCTCACGCTTCCCATTTACCATGCTGGGAGCGTGTGTTATTACTTCCAGGGTCGAATAGAATTTTCACCCCTTATCCACCCATTTCATCACTCTCACATGCACCTAAAACCCCAAAATCTCCTCCAAAGAATCACTTTCATTTGCCTTAACCTCCATCTATCTCCACAAAAAGGGAATTACATATTTCCCAAAAGAACGATAGGGCATTACATATTTTACCAACTGAAATCTTGCAAACATGCCTTCCATAAATTGTACAGATGCAAAACAGACCAGTTATGCGCTTCATAGAATATCTCCCTGTTGCTCTGAATCCTAGAGTGTGCATCATATGCTATTCTATTTCACAAATTCTACAATTCCACAACAGCTAGTTCCTGGCTCAATCATTTCTAGGGAAAGTAAAAAGCTAGGGGTGCAAGTCTATCTCAATCCCAAAACCTCTGTTGCAAGCAGAGCACAACCCATTCATACATGTGTACAAGCCTTCTTTCTATATTCCGAAAGCCACTGAACGCCTGGAACCTAAATAATGATATTTTGGGAGCAATGCAGTTTGCCTTTTGTCACGCCGTACTTACTGAAAGAAAGCAGGCTTTAGTCGTATACAGAACAAACTATCTATTAAGCTTATGTTCAGGCCATGACTCCTCTCCATTCCCATATTTGATCACCATTCAAATGAAATTTTCAAGTCAACTTCATCCAATGAATACCAAAAGCAACAGCCATCTGACACATGAGAAATAATGAAACTGAACTCATACAGAGACTTAAAGAAACCATTTTCTCCCATTTATCATCCAACAGCATGGAAATATTTGCAAAGAGAATCAAATCCATAGAGTTTCTATAGAGATAAATTACGTGATATCGGCCAACACCAGAGAGAATTACTTTCGTTCATGCATGTACTCATATAAATATAAATTAAATTGTCATTTTCTAGCATCAGAAACAAGTTGATGATTTTTCACTCATCATGCAATAGGCAAATAATCTAGCAGGACAACAGTAAAGTTCTACAAATACGCAAGTACCTTGCTTTCATACTTTGCAACAAACTTGACAGCCAAAGTAAGATAAAAAAACAATTGTAGCTAATGTTAGTTTCTAAACCTAAAAACACAATAAGAACTAGTTATTGTGGGTTGATTCTATAAGCACTCTCCAGGCATAACTTGACAGGGAAATTTTATAGAGGAAAAACAACAACAAATTGCATTCATCTCAAACAGAATAACAAACCATAATCAATCATGTGTCTTAAACCGATACGACCCATTTATCTCCACCCTTCTTAGACCAGAAACCTCTACCCATGATGGAAATGGACGACAACTTGTGAAGTGTACAGTTGCCTTTTAATAAAAAGAATCTACATTACAGACGGCAGCACTATTAATCACTGTGTATGGATTCACTAAAAGAATCGCATGCCACTAATTCATACAAGATTGATCTAAACGACCAGAAAAAGAAAGACCAGAAAAGTGCCATTACTACCTAGTCGACTTGGAAGTCTTAGAAACTTGAAACTATTACTTTAAATGGTCCATATTCTTTAAGTGAAGACTCCAAATGTGCATGGAGTAGTAGAGATAGTACTGAGTACTAGAACCAGAAAGTAATATTCAGCATATTTAATCTGAGGTAATTTGAAAAAAGAAGGTTCTTCATGCATTGGTGCATTAATCAAACTTATTTTACGCTGGCAATATATTATTAGTTGGAAAAAATGAACATTTAATCAATAAACAACCTGTGTATACCAAATATATGATAAAGTAGTGCCAAAAATCAGTTTGTTTGAACTACTCTCAATGGAAACAAATTTAACAAAATAAAGAAAATGATTAGCATTATCACCAATAACTATAAATCATGCCGATGCAACATTAATTTCAGACAGCTCCTTCTCTTTGTGCTTCAAATACTGATGCAAAATTGTAAGCCTAGCAGTCTCAAATGCAAAATACCCCAAAGCAGAAAAACAAGCACTATGAACAACTCTAGGCCCCATTCCCCGAGTCAAACCAATCCAACCTTCTTCCTTAAAAATCTGCTTCACCGTTGCATTAACCCCACTATACATGGCAGCAGCAACTTTATCCCCATGAACCTGAGTCATCAACCTTGTTTTCACCACATCAAGTGGAGTTGTCAAAGAAGCTGAAATTGCACCAGCCAAAGCACCACAACAAACACTCTGAATTGGCTCCAAATAAGTCTGCTGTGTCTTACTCAAAACCGCAGCTTTTAAGTACTCAAAAGAGGAATAACTTAACACCCCAGCAGGCAAATTCCTCAACAACGTAGCTGAGTAACCAGCATAAAGACCCAAAATCCCATCTTTTTCTAAAATTTTCAACAAGACTTCCCACGATCTTCCTTTCGCACCAGCTTGCATTCTTTGAGTAATCAATTCTCTAGGTACCATTATAGCTGATGAAATAATGTTTCCCATTGCACCAGCAGTTGGAGGAATAAGCAAAGCTGGATACTCCAATTTGGACAAAATGGACTTCCCAAACTCACATGTACCAAAATAAACAGCTGAAGAAGCAGTGGATCCTACAATAACAGCTGAAACTCCACTGTAAAATCCTAGAATACCTTTTGTCTGGAATGTTTTAACTATTGCGTCGAAAGTGTTGGCGTATATCTCTGAGGCACCCTTGGTTTGCATTTTGGTTTTGATGGTATCCAGTGGGTGAAGGCACACGTAAGTAAATGCACCAGCAATTCCACCACCACCTGCACCAATAAGAGCTCTTTCGAAAACGGATAAGTTTTTCATTAGGGTATGCACTTTGGGGCTGTTTCTGGATGTGGGTTCTAGCCATTTGGGGAATTTGAGAAATTTGGTGGGTTCTACGGAATTGGGTTTCGGCCAATTTGATTTAGGATCTGCGGAAATGGAGGTTGAGGCAAAGGAGAGGTTATGTTGGGAAGGTTTGAGGGGTTTTTGAGTGTTTTGTGTGGAGGACATGAGAGGGGTGAAATGGGTGAAAAGGTAAGGGAAGTCGGTGGTTATTGGCAGATGGTGATTTGGGTCAGGAGAAGGGAGACCCAAAGATGCAGAGAGTCTCGCCTCCATTGCTAGAACTTTGCGTGTTTTTGCCGTTTCTGTCACCACTTCTCTTTTAACCACTCATTGAATGGATGGTCAAAACGATGTTGTTTCATTGGTAGGAACACCAATACCTATGATGTCGTTTAGCTATGCCTATTTTATTTTATTTTATTTTCCTTCTTCGCCGCCGTCACGATGGTAGAGTTTCCGTTCCATTACCACAAAATTTTAAGTTTGTAGAGAGATTTGATTGGACCTGGAAGTAACAGTCTACCAAAGAAATGACCTTTATTCGCCTGTTTGCTTCTGGTTTGGATGAGCTAGAAACCCAGCCTTGGGTGAGAGACACAAAACTGCACTACATTGTAGCAATGAAAACAGGACATTTGTCTCAAGTAGAATGTGGACTAACAGCATAAGATTTTTTTTTTCTTTATGCTTTGGCATAACATATAACATCAATCGATTATTAATGAAAATTTTATATGTGTACCTAAAAACTTGAAGAAAAAGAAAGAAATACATTTGTGTCGTTATTTTACTTCATTTTGGTTTTTCTATTTAGGTTTTTTTTATGGGTCTTAAAAGTATTTGGACGAGAAAATGCAATTTATTTTATTCTTATTAAACTTTCCATTTTTTCTTGTTTACTTTTTTTTTCTCCCCAAAACAACAAATAATCTCTGTAACTTCACAAATCTTTTAGATTAGATTCACTCAGAAGGGAAAAAAAAGACGGCAAATGAAAAGAGAAAAGCAAAATCTAAGAAACTTTTGTGTGGGCAGAAAGAGGAGGCAGGGCTCAAAGTTTCGAGGCAATCCGGGTTCATCGCCCTCCAAAGCCTCTCTTCTTTCCCTCACTCTTGGCTCTCTATCCTGGACTCTAATTGGTTAACGCTCTAGATAAACACGATTCATCAACAAAAACATTGGAGATGGCAGATCAAACAAGCAAGAAATTCTCTTTTTGTTTCTACTTTATTCCAAGATTTTCACAGTAAAACCTCTGTTTCTCTCAAGAACTATCTATCTCTTTCCTAGTAACTTTCATTTCCACAACGTAGACAATGCAACTTTCTTGTCTATTTGTCTTCTGGGTCCATCTCTTTTTCCTCTCAAACTTCACATTTCCTTCAATTTCTCTTCTTGTCTTGCAACCAAAAAATATCACCCTCTATGGTAGCGCTTTCTTTAGAAACAATGGCATTAGTCTTACTCAAGAAACCAGCTGCCTGCCATCTTCTTCTCCTTCTGCCATTGGAAGAGCTCTCTACGTCTACCCCATTCGTTTTCTTGATCTCAAAAGCAAAGCCACTGCATCTTTCTCTAGCCGTTTCTCTTTTTCCATCATCCGTAACCCCGTATGTCCTTTTGGAGATGGCATCGTTTTCTTGATCACTTCCAATGCTGATTCTTTCAGCTTCTCCAATGGCCACATGGGACTTCCACAGCTTGACTTATACTCTCAAGATTCTTACTTTGCTGTGGAGTTTGATACGAGCTTTAATCCTTCAGTTCGTGACGTCAACGGTAATCACATTGGGGTTGATGTTAACACGGTTGTTTCTTTAGATTCAGTTGATGTTGTGTCAAAAGGGGTTGATCTTAAAAGTGGGAAACAGATAACAGCCTGGATTGAGTATAGGGATTCAGCCAAGTTGATTCAGATATGGGTTAGTTATTCATCAACTAAGCCTTCAAGTCCTGTTCTTGTTTCCCAAATTGACCTTTCCAACCAATTCAAGGAGTATATGCATGTTGCTTTCTCTGCTTCTAACGGACAAGGTTCTGCAATGCACATTGTTGAACATTGGCGGTTCAAAACATTCAACACTTACCGGCCTTCTGTGAATCCAACGGATGCATTTGAAGAAGGGTATTGCTTCATGTGCTCTCCAGAGGATTCATCTAACAGTAGACCTCATGTGTATGGTCCTCATAGGAGAAGTCTCAAGATTGGGAACATGGCTGTTGTATTGGGATGCTTAACTTTATCGCTTGTCCTTGTAACAGCAATTTCATTCATTTATTTCTTTGTGGTGAGGAAGAAGAGGGGTGTTGACAGAAGAAGCAAAAGAGAAAAAACTAGAGTTCCAATGAATAATGTACCAACAAGATGGACACTTGCGGAGATAAAATCAGCTACAATGGGGTTTCATAGGAACAGAATTGTTGGTGAAGGTGCTTCAGCAGTTGTTTATAAAGGGTCTGTTCCTTCTGGTGGAGCTGTGGCAGTGAAGCGGTTTGATCAGTCCAACCGAAAAGCATTCACTAATAATCCTTTTACCACAGAGTTTGCCACTATGGCGGGTTGCTTAAAGCACAGGAACTTGGTTCAGCTTCAAGGGTGGTGCTGTGAGGGATCTGAGTTGATCCTGGTCTATGAGTACTTGCCCAATGGAAGCCTTGACAGACTCCTTCATAGAAACTCAGATTCATCAACTTTCCTCTCTTGGAGCTTAAGATTAAAGGTAGTTCTAGGGGTTGCTTCTGCTCTTACATTTCTACATGAAGAATGTGAAAGACAAATAATCCATAGAGATGTGAAAACTTGCAACATAATGCTTGACGATGAATTCAATGCCAAGCTTGGGGATTTTGGTTTAGCGGAAGTCTATGAACATAGTTGCGCTTCAAGAGAAGCTACAATACCAGCTGGTACAATGGGATATCTTGCTCCTGAATATGTTTATTCTGGTGTTCCAACTGTGAAAACGGACGTTTACGGCTTTGGCGTGGTTGTACTAGAGGTTGCTACAGGAAAGAGGCCTGTGGATGAAAATGGAGCTGTGTTAGTTGACTGGGTTTGGGACCTATGGGTTAAAAAAGAACTAATTGAGGCTGCCGATTCTAGACTGTCCGGAAGGTACAATATTCTAGAGATGGAGAGGATGCTCATGGTGGGACTTTGTTGTGTGCACCCGAACCATGAGAAGAGACCAACAGTGAAGGAAGCTGCTAGGATTCTCAGAGGTGAAGCAGCACTTCCACTTTTGCCATCAATGAGACCAACAGTGACGCTCAGGTCTAATTTCTTTGCAGATTGTGAAGATACTTTGAACTTCGGTGGAGATAACAGTCCTGGTGGTGATGATGCTGGATGGTTGACACCCAGGAGCCATTTTAGCAAGGCCTAGCTCAGAAAACTACATGAAGGTGTGTGCAAGAAATAAATTGTGCCTTGTATAAGAAATATCTGAAGCTTTATATTTTGACTAAGACTTTTCATTTTCTCTTCTATTTTCACCGTTTTAGGTTTTGTAATATTGTGATGATTTTATAATCTAAGATGTTGTTAGGGTTTGCTTGTTTGAGATGTTACCAGTATATAGGGGGGGCATCCCAGGAAAATGGTATAGTATACTTGTAATTCATATGAAATTGAGTGGATTCTAGTTTTTCTTTTCTAGAGAAGAAGCTATCGAATTGTGTCATTGCCGGCTGGAACTATACTTAAGGTAGCATTTGGTATATTTTAAAGATCAGCTCACTCATCTAGTTATCATTGTAATAAGATCATTAAGTAATTTGACCACAAGTGACATTAAATTAATATGTTTGATACAATATTATAAATCACTAATGATTTTAAATTACTTTGATTAATATTATATAAAAAAAATCATATAGTACAAAATATCTAAAATAATATTAAAAAAATATTTAATATTTATTAAATCAACAATTTATAAAATATTTTAATGTTATTAAATAAATTTATTATTTTTTAATCAATATACATTTATAATGTAAGACTTTTTTAGAATAAATGATTAAAAAAATCTGGTTTTTTAAATTTTTAGTGGTTAATTTCTTTGGGTAATATTAATTATATTTTTTGTGAGGGTAAATTAGTTAAAAAATAAAACTGAAAATTACTTTTCATGAAGATAAAATTTTTTCATCTTTTAAGTTGAAAATCAGATGACTTCTCAAGACAATGATTTTATCACTCTAGTGATTTAAAATCATTGTCACATAGGATTTCTAAATTACTAGCAAATAAAGTGATGTAATTAGTAAGTACATATCATCATAGTTTTTAAACGGATCATCCCATCCCAAACACCCTCTAAAAGCTTTTTTTTTTCTAATTCTGCTTATTCCTCTTTCAAGTCCCCAGAAATTAGACCCATATAGCTGACTGTTTTCAGCTTGAAACCTTTCCAGAAAAAGTGTATATGCACTTGTAGAGAAAGATATTTCAGAATTCCTGAAGTTTCTCTATTCTTTCGTTCTATCATTTGCTATCCACTACAGAGTTTCATTTTCCTTAATGGTCCACTCTATTTCATAGATGCATGAGCTCATTATCAATAGAGAACACGACCATCTCACTTCCACAGGATGAGCTCTTAAAAAGAGTTCTTATTGCAACCTCATGCAGCAGAATGAAAATACTCGTTAGTTGTTTCATCAATCTACTTGTCTTCCCTTTGGTGTCTTCTGTCACTGCTTTCACTTCATTTTTTTCGACCTATATATGCTCCTGAAACACCTCCAGCCAGCAAGTTATTATTTGACTAGTTTTTAAGTCCTGTATTGTGAAATAATCAAAATTTCATCCAGATTGGAGCAGGATTGTTAGCTTATTGGAATCTTATGCTTGAAATTGAGATTCAACAGCATACAGGGTCATCATAGCTGATGAAATTGGTCACCCTGGTTATAACACTGCAAGCTTGGAGATGGAGTGTTCATCAGCGTTACAGCTTGCTCTAGACTTGCAGTGCTATTCTTATAGAAGCATTACAAACTAACTATTCTAAGATCAATTTAAGAGAAAGAAAGGACGTAAAGACAAATAAATAACATACCACTACTATAATTTCGTACGTCATAAAAGTGCATAACCTAAATCAATCCTTTTGCCAAAGTCCTATTAGAAAACCGTTGTAGTTTTGAAGCACATTTCAGTGCAATATTGCTTTTGGTTCCGTCTTGATCTTTCATCTCTTCTTCTTCTAATGCTGCTGATTGGCTACTCAGCAATGGAATATCATTTTCTATATTCTTCAAGATAGCACTTTTCGTATCAAGATCTACCGTTATAGATTCACCTCAGTCAAATCCCTTTTAATTTTCTTGTAAAGCTGAAGCAGAGCTGCAATATTCTTGAGTAAAGCAAGCCAGTGGCGAAGCCACTTCAAATTCATATGAACACTTTCAGCATCCCTTATAATAGAATCAAGAGAATGTGAATGATGACTCTGAATATTTTCGAGAGCTACAGACAGAAGTTTATGGAGTGTAATAACGTCTAAATCTGAAGATCTATCGCTAGACATTGACTTAAGGAGTCGCCACCAATCTTTTTTATCTAGGTGCGATTGACCACCTAAGGAATCTATCCTTGCAGGGAACACCTAAGTTTAAGGGACCCTAAAAGAATAAGTTCAGGTCTACTAACCAAAACAGGGTTCGAGAGTTTAGTTACGTGTGAGAAAGGTTATAGCACCTCACAACGCCCATCAAAAGATGGTACCAGCTTAATTTTGTATTATCCAATAAGCCTTAAAAATTTACCAAGTAATTAGTTATTGAAAATTATTCTCAATTGACTTTAATACTTTTAGCAAAAAATTGAGAAAATCCCCTCACCTCAAGAGTATGCAAGAAAACTAATGTTTCACTTGCAGAGGCTCCATCGTCGGATTATTTAACATTAAAAAAAATGAAAATAAAATAAAAAAAAAGAAAAAAATGATTGCTTTTGTGCAGGGAAAATTGATACTTTCAACTTTTTCCCAAAAATACTTTTTTGAAAATTTATTTTTAAAGAAAATTGATATTTTCAACTTTTCCTCAAAAATATTTTTTTTGAATTTTATTTAAAAAAAATAAAATAATAAAATAAAATGAAAATAAAATGAAAATAAAAATAAAAATAAAAATAAAGAAAAATAAAAATAAAATAAGAATAAAATAAAATAAAAATAAAAAATATATTAAACAAATCTAATAATAATAATAAATAAATAAAATAAAATAAAAAAGAGAACGGCTCGGCTTAACGGCTCGGCTCGGCTTGAGGAAGAAAAACGACTCGGAGACGCGGTTCAGGAGTGTCGGCCGACTCAGCTAATGGCTCGGAGATGCGAGTTGCACGCGGGTTAGGTCGGATCTTGACAAAACGCGCGGATCCTTTAGGTTTACTAACACCAAAACGACGTCGTTTTCACTAGGTATAAAAGGCTAATCCCTCTATTTTTTCAGCAGATTTCTCCTCCCCTCTCTCTCTAAACCCTGAAGAACTCTGGTTGAATGCCCGTCGGATTTTAGAAAATTTCATCGAAATCTGAGTTTTTCGTCAAAAGTTCACCGAAAAACTGATCGATTTTCTAGAAATAGTTGTCGGAAACTAGGAAGTTGGTCAAAAAATTCAAACTTGGCCGAAATAGTTACCGAAAAATTCAATCTTCGCTGAAAAATTCAATCAAAATCTAAAAATTTTTCAAAAATTTCTAGAAAAAAATCATAAAAAATTCTCCAAAAATTTCTCACCAATTCTTAAGGCTATTCTAATGCCCCTAAACCTTTTTTCAGCTTTTAAATCTTCTCTGTATCTATTTTTTTTCTTTCAGCCAGTATCTCTTTTTCTGTGTGTCCTCTTTTGCTTTGATCCGTGAATCTATTTATAACTCTTCTGATCAATCTCAAATCCTCTTTGGATTGGGATTCAATCATTGAATCCAATATGGACTCTGATTGAATCCCAATTTACGATGGGATTCTTCCAAACCAATCCAATCTCCAACCGAAAAAATCAGAAAAAGAAAATAAAAAATCAAATAAAAATATTAATAGATAATTAAAGAAAAAAATAAGATAAATCAAAATATTAACAGATAAAAATAATAATAGATAAATTATAATATATAAATAGATAAATAATAATAAATATATAACTAGATAAATAAAAAAAATATATATTAACATAAAAAAATAAATATATATTAATAAATAGTAATAATAAATAAATAAATAATAAATACATAAGATATAAAGGAAAAAATATAAAATATAAATAATAAAATAATAAAATATAAATTACAAAATAATAAAAAAAAAGTGGACCTACCCATTTGGACCAGGCCCAAATGATCCGGGCCTGGACCAAATTGGGTGTCTACAGCTGCCCTTCTTTGCACATTTTTGTAAAACAAAAATTGCGCAAAGACGTAGACACTCATTCAAGACTCAACTCGACCCCATTTTTTTCTTTCATTTTTTTTTGGTTTAAGATTTGATCAAGGCTCCTCTGAGCAGAGGCTCAACGACTTTAAAAAACATAAACAAAGCTCCTCTAATCAGAGGCTCAATGAATTTGGAAAATAAACGGCTCCTCTAATCAGAGGCTCAATGACTTTGAAAAATAACAACTCCTCTAATCAGAGGCTCAACGACTTTAAAAAATAAATGGCTCATCTAATCAGAGGCTAAACAACTTTTGAAAAAGTAAATGGCTCCTCTAATCATAAGCTCAACAACTTTGAAAAATAAATAAAGCTCCTCTAATCAGAGGCTTAACGACTTTTAAAAAGTAAATAGCTTCTCTAATCAAAGGCTCAACAACTTTGAAAAGTAAATGGCTCTTTGAAAATCATGTCCAAAGGAGTTGAAAATTGTGTTTGAAGGAATTTCAGGAGATTATGCCCGAAGGTCTTATAAATCAACCCTGATACCAAGAGACATCCTATTTCCAGGATTATAAACTTACCTGATAAGCTTTTTCTCAAATTTGAAAATGTCTTTACATCTGTCTTCTCTATGTGGAATGTTGGAATACCCCTGCTCTTGAATTTATGCACTGTATTTTCTTAAATGTAATATATGTTATGCAATGCATGTGAAATTCAATGCATGCTATGCGAATGTTGGTTACTTGATTCCTATTCAATTGTGGTACTCAAATTTCTCAAGCTCTTTTCTTGGGCATCGAACCCTTTGATTCTTCAAAAACCAGATTACGCTGCTCTTCTAAGATCGAGTCAGTGTAGCTCTCAATAATCTCTTCCACTCACATTCTTTCTGTAAGAAATCTCTTTCCAAATTCAATGTCCTTATTAGGAACTGAACATCTCGATTCTGCCTTTATCACTCTTGACTTATTCAATGTAATGTAAAAAATCTTTCATGCCATTATTTC